AAGTATCACTACCCCTCCTGCAAAGGCCAATACTGCAAAAGGTTTTGCTGTACCAGAGACCAATTTCTGCCTTCATCTATTCCAACACATTATGGTGTTGTCTGAAGCAGGTATCTTCACCCTGTGGCGTGGCAGGGTTGGTGCTGCCCAAAGGTGTTGTTCTCATATGGCCTGCCTTCGTTAGCTAAAAGTAGAGAAGCACTCCATTGTAGAGCCGATTTTTTAAAAGTTAATTGATAGGAGCTTTTAATGTTACTTTTGGAGCTTATCTCTTCATCAAAAAAGAACACAGAAAAGAACACAGATTTGCATAAAAGTTGCATGTGCTAATTTATATGTATAACTACAAATTTAAAAATAATTACTATTATTTAAAGAGAAATACATTTCAGCAAGGTGAAGGGGATCTGCATGCTTAGTTTACATTATTGATGAGTAACGTCAACATTCCTATTCTCCATTCTTATGGTGCTTTATCATTATTCCAGACTAAAACTGGGCAGTCCTTCAAATGGATGATTGTCCTCTATAAAGTCAGACTCCTGTCCTCCCTCAAACTTATTTCTATCTTTCTTTTCTTTGTCTTGCATCACAGTATAATTAAGCATTGCTTAATGCGAAAGAGCCAGTTGTCTTCCTGGGAAGTCAATTGTTAGTATAGTAGAGCAAAGCATTGCATGAATGCCGTGGACTATAAGTACACAGATACTTTTTAGCTCAACCACAAAGTAAAATAGCTTTCATAAATGCAGTAAGGGAGATTATTTCCCAGGGCATCCATTTTGAGTACATCCCCCCTCCCCCTGCTCCTTATTGTCACAGGTGAATGTGCCACTGGAAATAGCATGGAGAACTAGTCTGCTATGCATCTCTTCCTGTCTCTTGTCAGTGATTTTCACTTCCCTTCCAGGTAGTTTTGGTAGTTTTTGTTTTTTTAATCAGAGAAGTTACAAGAGAAACCAGCACAAATAATGGCAGTCTAAGATGTCTAAGAATAAAACAAAGTGAGCTGTGTTGGTTCATATATGGGAAAATTCAGAAATCCACAATCAGGTAATACCAAAGAAATCTGGAAATCTTGTATTTAACATGTTGTGCATTTTGGGTAGGTCTGAATAAAGGAATTGCCTATGGGAATTCCAAAGAAACTGTTCTTAAGAGCTGTTGCAATTCACACTACACTGGAATAGGAACAGCCAGCAATCTGTGGGCCTAGATCTCCTGACAAAGCTCTTTGGGAGCTAGAGGCTGACAATGATGTCACATTAAGGTGAAAAGTTTCACTTAGCTTCTTTCATGTGAAGTCCTCCATTTAATTAGAAGAGGCAGTTTACCCAGTGCAGTGCTATTTTGGACATGGTGGGAAGTCTGAGTGAAGTAACAGGAAGTCCCAGAAGCCTCTGCAGTAACATTCCACTAAGTGTCTTTTCATTTTATAAGAAATAGGAGTGCAGGACCAGAGGCCCGGGAGTCAAGTCCAGCCCACCTAAGATTCAGTCTGGCTCTTCAGAATTTCCCAGCAGGCCATGCCCCTTCTTTCGGTCCCACTGGATTTCTCTCAACCACTAATCATTGGGAGTGTTGTATTTTTCTCTCCTATTATTGAAGGATTGAAATGCCTCTGCCGAAGTGTAGTTATTAGCAGTAAGAATTTTATGCCAAAATATAATAGTACTGTTGGTATTTGGGCCCAGCCCTTTTGCTTTTGGCCTTGCCTGCCACTGGAATGCAACAAAACCCTATAGAGATTGTGAACCTGCAACATGAAGCAGGCCTTCATTCACTGCATGCACCTACGGAGCCATCATTTCCAATTCAATATATTACCAAATGCTGTGGGAAAGAATGCCCCACAAAATTTCTGTATTGTTGCTAGATGTATGGATGGTCTGACTAAATATACAGCAGGTTCCTGATAAAGTGTTGGAAGGCATATCTCCAGGCTAGGGAGAAGGGGTGGCAGTACCAAGTAATGGGACAGAGAGCTGGTATGGGCTGTAGGCTGCCAGGTTTCTAACCTTGGCCCAGAACTCTTGCTCTTTGCTTGGAATGTTCTTCCCTCGCAAAACACCATATTCATGTGGGCAAGTGGGTGGCTATTTACCCAAGAAGGGAAAACATGTTCAGAATCACCCTGTCATTTATGCTTCCTTTAAATTTTCCATGATTGACAGCCAGCATTGGGGGTGGAAGAGAACATCAAGCAGTGATCTGAAACAAATTCCACCTTCCATGCTTGAGAAACTATATGAGATGTGCATTTACTCTCCTCAATGGACACATTACTTTCGGTGAAGTAAAGCAATCTTTGCCACTTGCTCAGTGAAAAAAAGGCTTTACAGTTTTCTATTTATATACCACTTTTCTTCCGACGAGTGAAAGACAGCACACACTGTTCCCTTCCCTCCATTTTTTTCTTCACAACAAACTAGTGGGGTATATTGGGAGGAGCCCAAGAACACTGTGTGACCTCCATGGTGGACACTTCAACCCAAATGTCACAGTCTGCTTCTAGTACATAGTCACTACTCTTCACCTTCCTATTCTTCCTGCCATTACTAGAGCTTTTTCTGGGAGGTGATGCATGCTATTTCTGGTTGATTCATGGCTTTTCATGGTTGTCCATCCTTTGGGTCCTCTAGAGTTTTGGTCTACACTTCCCACCATCCTTCACCATTGCTGTCTAAGACTGATGGGAGTGGCAGGAAAAAATCTAGAGCGCCACAAGCTGCCCGCCCCACAGAGTCAGTTTTTAGTGGTTACTGGTGGGTGTTATGAGTGTACACAAATGGAGCTATTCAACAGGAGCCGCTTCTATGATTCTGTTTGTCTCTGGTATGTTCCTGAGAAATGGAATTGGCAGACTAATTTTGTGAGTTTTCCTTAATAAGTCACCACTCCCCTTCTGGGCCTGATGAGGATTAGGCAGGAAAATGCCCCAGTAATGCCTGTGAAGTGCCATGAGGGAACTGCTCCTCTTGTAGGGGCCTTCAATACGACTGTCTTTGGCTGTCTGCCAGGTTGGCTTGGGTTGTGGAGTTCCTGTGATATGAGATATGGTCATATGCATTTCACACAACTAAAAGCTGTGCTGAAGATTACTGTCTTCCAGGTGCTCCTATCCTCTGAGGTAAAGTGGGTGGTAAGGAGAGTGTTTTCAGTGATATGGTCCCATTTGTGGAATTTCTTCTCTGTCTTGTTACATGTTATATTATCACTGTTATCCTTTCAGCACCAGGCGAAGGAAGTTTATTCTCTTGAGCTTTTATTGTATTTGCTTAACATGTTGTTTATTATATTTTCTTAATTTATCTTATCTTCCTTTTTGTACACTGCCCAGCAAGCTCTGCTGATACATGTTGTTTATATTTATAAATAACTAAACAACATATAATAAATAAAATCTGAGAGTCAACTTAACTCAGAGATAAAATACATGTTTTGTGCACCAAAAGTCCCAGTTGATACTATGGCATTTCCAGGTAGGTTTGGGAAAGACTTCTGTCTCAAATCTTAGAGAGCTGCTGTCAGCCACTATAGCTGCAAATAATATTTAGCTCAGTGTAAGTCAGACTACTGGCAAGGCAATCTTTGGGGAAATACTGTTCTATTTTGGTGACATTTGAATCTTTTAGGTCAAGAATCTTCATCTTGTCTTTTCAGCTGTTTCATGAGGTAGTTGTGCTGGTAAATGAAAATGTATGATACCTACACACAAAAATGTATATTTGCCAAGTAAATATGTCTGATTCATCATTTAGTGACAGTAACATCATATAGTGACATATGTGAACGAGCCATTGCAGATATAACTATAACTAATCTCTTCCTATCACCTCAAACACAACTAAAACCTTGGGTGCTATCTTCTTGGTAGAAAGGGGGGGGGGGCTGCAAACCAAATAAAAAAATAGTCACTTAAATTTTTTCCATACCTTAATCAAGATCTGGTTAAGACATCCACTGTTTTTTAAATGGACCGTTTAGTGGAGCTTTCAAAAGCATAGCACAGTTAGAGAAATGAGAAAGTAATTTAAAAGGCAAAGCAAGCCAACACAAATCAAACCTTAGAATGACAACTAGCAACCTGTATGGAGATATGACATTCATGTATGTCACTGGATTTCCCTTTATGCTCAGGTGTATATGTGAACCAACTTGACTGAAAAACATTTTAACTATGGAGCTATATATGTAATGACCCATCCACGTATATAAGCTCTTACATGGTACTACAGTCCTCAGTGGATTGAGGATGCTTGCAGGAACCAGCCCCAAGTGTCCAGCAACCAACTTATAAACATGCATGTGCGAGCCAGGCCAGACAGTTACTCTGCTTACAGATACTTCTGGAATGATGTGCTTATATCTGTACTTGTATGTACACCTAGTCAGATTAGGAGCCATACTCAGATTCCTGCTTGGATAGGATGTTCACTGGGTGACCTTGGGCCAGCTGCTACCAGCTTGGCCTAACTTACTTCACAGGACTGTTGTGATAAAAAAAAAATGGGTGTGGGGGAGTGGGAATGGGAGAGAACCATGTGTGTTGTCCCGATCTCCTTGGAAAGGCTGCAGTGCAAGTGTAGCACAAACACTTATTTTTAAAACACGCTGTATGAAACAACACTTTGAGAAGGACGATCTGAACAGATCTTCCCCGGTCATCTATTCCGTCCGCGCTCGCGCGCGCGCGCGGAGTGGGGAAGGGGCTGCGTCTTTACATGCCATACCCCGATTTCCCCCTCCTCTACATACGTGATCACGAAGAGGTGAGCACATCTGCCCCCCCCACTTCATCCCCCGCCGCGTCCGGGGAGGTGTGTCTTGTGCCTCGGCCTCCTTTGGCGTTGTGAGGGGCGTGCGTTGCTCTGGGTTCTCCCTTAGTGCGTTATTGTGGGAGGAGTGTTTGTCTGATCCGTTCTCCCCACCCCCGCCGCCTTGTGCGTGTTTAGAGGGAAGAGCTGTGTGTCTGGTTCCTCCCGCATCCTACTCCAAAACTAGGGCATTTCCTTGTGAGTCTCTCGATCATAATAATAACCCCTTTGACGCTTGCCAGCCTGCTGCTTCCTAGGTTGCAAGGAGAAAGCGCTGCAGCAGCTGCTGGCTGCCGAGCGATGTGAGGCGGGGAGGCTCCCAGTTTGCCTGCCTGCTTGCCTCGCTCGCTCGCTCGCTCGCTCGCTCTCTCCTCCTTCTTCCCAGTCCCATTTCCCCGTCCCCTCCTCTGCTGGAGCCGCCCGCCCGCCCCGCCGTTCTCCTTTCCCTTCCCTTTCCTTCCTTCCCTCCCTCCCCGCCATGCCGGACCAGATCTCCGTGTCGGAATTCGTGTCCGAGACCAATGAGGATTACAAGTCGCCCACTGCCTCCAACTTCACGACCCGGATGGTGCAGTGCCGAAACACCGTGGCGGCCATCGAGGAGGTGAGCGCCAGAGCACCGAAAGGGCAGAGCCCAGCCCAGCCCCTCCGACGCCCGGCCTGCAGAAGGGCGGCTCGCCCGCGCGTCCTTTCCCAGCGGAGCCAGCGCTGGCTCCCCTCGGCAGCCTCGTGTGTGTGGTGCGGTGCGGGGTGTGAGCGAGCGAGTGCTTTCCTGCCTCCTGGAAAGTGGAGGGCTGTCTGGAAGGGAGAAGAATGGAGACACGAGCCATGCCCGCGCTCCCTCCATTCTCTTTCGGTTCTTCAGACTTGCGTCCTTGTGGCACAAAAGGGGCGTCGTGCCCGACTCGCCCCCCCCTTGTTGCCGTGGGGATTGTGCCCTGCGTGCAAGAAGCAAGCGTAGCACGGTCGTTTCCCTTTCCTTGCCTCCCTTGCTTTTTGCCCGCCTTCTTCTGGGGGAAGGCACGGAATTGCTCTTAGTGTCTCTTTCTTATCGACAAATAATAACAATAACAACAAACACCACCGCCACCTCCTTTCTGCCACAAAGGGTTTGGCTTCCCTCAGCCCTTGAGGCGGAGAGGGGCGGCATGTATCCACCTGTATTTGGTACATCTCTCACTAATCGTGCTGTCTTCCCTTCTAAACGTGCTGTATTTTCTTGGCACAAAGGTGATTGACCCCCCCCCCCACACCCTCCCGAACAGTGCTTGCTACCTAGAAGAGGGCATCTGTTTTTGGTGTGGGTGCGGGCTGGCTGGAAGATCTATAATAGTTAATCTTTCCCTTCTCCAGTAAACTTACTGTGTTCTAAGTACAGCGAGATCATGGGGTTTAAAATTTGTGCACCTCGATCCTAAGCATATTTGCTCAGAACTAAGTTCCACTTTGCTTAGTGGAGATTTCTCCCAAACCTGCCGTCATGTGCCTCACTTAATTAGAGAAGAAGCCCCATGGAACCTAGTGTGATTCCATCAGTATAAACATGCATAGAATCAGGTTGTACTCACTGGAGATGTGCTCACCTTCTACCTGATGGATTGAAAGGCATCCGAGCATACAATAAAGTAAATATTGGAGATCAACATGGGACTACATTTGTATTACATCTATAAGTTTTCACCTCCACCTCTTTAAACACCTCATGATTTTTCAGGGGCATAGAGTTTACAATACTCAGTTCCTTCTAAGAACTGAACTATATTCTATTTCCAAAACAAAGGAGTTAGATCCTTAACCAGTAATACTGAGACTTGGGCTTGTTTTACTAAAGCAGCTGTGCACTTGATTTTTCTCCTTGTAAGTTGTGTGGCAGACCTGGAATATTTTTAAGTCTTTCTTCAGACAAAAGAAGTGAAAGGTACATATTTCCCAGTATTCACAGTATTTTTTAAGCAAAAAAATTACACACTGGTTAATAACTCTGCTTTTGTTCATCACCACCCCTACAAAAAGTAATGACCATTTCCTTGTGGCATAGAAGTTATGAAACATTTTGGGTAGTCTTTATGTCTCTTCGTTGAGATTTATGAAAAAAATAAATATTTGTAATGTGAATATGCAAATGATTTAAAAATTCTAACAGTGGTTGCAAAATCCTCCTGACTTAATTAAAAAGAAGACTACTGCTTGGATCAATACAGTCCTGCTTCTCATGAAGCTACCATGAAAATGAATTTTTGAGACATGTCCAAACATGGTTTGAATGCAACTCATCCCATGTAAACTCTTAAATTTACTTTGCATTTTATTTGAATGCCAGCCTCTCTGGGCCTGCATTATAACAGTGTTGATTTATATTGTCAACTGGTGTGTCTAGTCTGTCTTTTATGCAACTTTGCAATGGTGGATTCAGGTGGTCCTGAATACCCCTTAAAAATCATAGTGTTGTATTTAAACAAGTCTTTCCAGATTTGAAGAAGTATTGTTTAGCTTTTGAAAACAATTGCTCGAACACACAAATTAGAACCAAAATTGTTATAATCTGATTATTAATGTGTACTCTTCTTAGAATCTTGAAAAACAGTGTTGTCTTTGGAAAAATGAAACCTGGGATGTGATGCTTCTTTGAATGATCAGCTGCTTAAAAAAGTTGGGATGAGCTTTTGCTGTCTACAGCTGCAAGTTCCATTGGGCACAGTGGAACTTTAGAGACAATCATACATAGGATTGTGCTGTAAAATGGGTTAGTAATATAGGGCTTGCATGAAGCTTCCCTCCCACAGGAGTCTTCCTCCTGTCACTTTCACATAGGTTAAATAGTCTGGAAATGGATTACCATGTGATGGGAAAGGCTTCTGAAAGGCAAAGTACTGGCTAATCACCATCTGAAACTATGAAATGTTTTTTTTAATATTTGAATTTTTCTTGTGTCCTTTGAATTGCCAGGTTGAAAGAAATTTCTTCCACCCCAGCCTCCTACTCTTACACAGAACCCTCATTGCACCAACCCTGTAAATAGCGCTCTTATATGGTTTACCAACATTTCTCATGTCTTAAGATTTTGTGAGAATGTCTGGACTTTATTTTTAAGATTTAAAAGTGTTTATAGTGCTTCTGATTTTGGACAAAAGCTAGTTATCTGACATTCACACAGTGGATAAATACTATTTCAGAGAGATGTTCTTGTATATGCTAGGGGAATTCAAGCTGCACATTCCAAAACAATGGATTGTATCCAGTGGGACCCTTCTACTGGCTGATACTGCTACTGGATAGAATTCATCCTTGCCTGCAGTACTTCATTCAACCTTCAAATGTGTTTTTAGACATGTGCAGGTTTTCAGAAGGCATGTTTTCACTGAAAGGGACCTTTTCATATTAGCAAATAGAGTGTCTGTGTGTATGAAGGCAATTCTCACCCAACAGATTTGCACTCAAACAAGATTAAAGATAATAACATCACTTGGATGTTTATTGAGTTCATAACAGGAGGGTTGGTAAATCCTCTGAAGTAGGTGGGGGGGCTATGTGAAGAGCTGCAATAGGGAGGAGGAGAAGGGAAACTTACACTGTTGGGTAATGCAATTCAAAATACATAAATTGTGACTATTGATTATGTGATTGTAACATTAATACCTATTAAGGCAACAACTTTTGCCTTGCTTGAGCCACTGGTTGGAAAGACTAAAAGGCAAATAAAGAAGGCATTCAAATTATCACTTTGTAGTTTACAATCATGAGATTTCTTTTTTTAATCGCATGAGTCAGACTTTAGAACATCCTGATTTGTGAATGAGTGTCATTCACAGTTCTGGTATGGTGATAAGTGGAAGTTTTCAACTGTGGAGACATTGCTTTAAAAAGGATGCTAAACGCTTGTTGCTTGTATAATTAGGAGTGCATACTTACATCTGCCTGCAAGTTGTTTACAGGTCTCAGTAGAGTTGAAAGCTAGTTCCAAGGCAGAGCCTTCAATATGCCTTAATATTTTGAGTATTCTTTAGTTTTTTTGGATGGTGTATATCTATTTTTATTGGAGTAATAGTAAACTGCCATAGCCCAGTCTTTTCATGCTATATAGTGAAGACTGATGCTATTAAAACAAATATTTTACTGCTCTGTCAAGAATTGTTCATCAAGAGTGAGTAGAATTATGCAAGCTGTATTAATTAGAGCACTATTGGCAGTATCTTTGTTCTTCTGCTAGTATTAATTTTTTCAGCAAGGTTGGCAAAATACCAGCAGGTCTAAATTGGTCATGCTGAGATTCTGAAATAGCTTAATTAAATTGAGCACATTTTACTCCAAAATTGTGCTTAAATAGCTGTTGCTTTCAAAGTGTAAATCTTTGGCCATTCTTCTGCAGCATTACAGTTCACAGCTTTTACAGTGCTAACCCACATTTAGTAGCCCGACTGGTTTTTCAAGTCTACAGATGATGCTACCACAAAAATAGGCCATAACTTTCCTAATTACAAAAATGAAACAACAGTTTGTTGCAAGTCATGTACCCTTCCCAGGAATAGTTTATGGAGGCCTATAGAAGTACTGATACTTTACTTTTATATATTGCATGGAAAAACTGCTAGGCAGGACTGCTTATATATATCAAGTAAAATAAAATAGTGACTAGGCTACAGCAAATGAAGAGTCAGTAAAATAATGAATACCTGTTTAGGTAATGTCTGTGCAGACTGAAGCTCTGTTCTTCCAAATGGGGATGTTGAAGTTTGCATGATTAGTACATTTCCTGTAATAATGGGCACTGTAGAATCACTGAAGGAGATTTAAAATAATTTTGTGATGAGTTTTGTGATTAGTTTAGATTATTATAACTCTGTACCTTCCTATTTATAAAGTTGTTGAAGCACTTGTTCCTGCTTACCTGTCTATTGCAGTTTGTTCACACAGAAAGACAGCTAATCTAAAGAAACTTTTTGTGCTGCTTTTCTGATGTACTACAGTTAAAACATTCAAGAAATTATTATTATTATTACTATTATTTCACTTATGTACACTACTGGAGCCAGAGCCAAAGAACTAATAATTGCCGGCCACATGACCACGGAGACTGTCTGCAGACAAATGCTGGCCCCCCTTGGCTAGGAAACAGAGATGAGCACCGCCCCCTAGAGTCAGGCGTGACTGGACTTAATGTCAAGGGGAAACCTTTACCTTTTCTTTACTTTTATAACTTTACTACAGCATGACTGCATCCCCAGTACTGACCAGTCAGGGATTTAAGATTGGCTGTGAAGGCTTTGTTTCTTGGTAGCCTGGAGGAATGTGGTGTAAGGAACTACTACACTTGGCTAAATCTTTTTGGCAATAGCACCCAGATTTGGCTGTTCTCCACATGGATGTTAGTCAGGTGTCAGTTACTGACATGGTTATATGTACAAGTTTTGGAGTATAGGCAATTATTTTATTTATATTCTCTTGTTGTAGTGATAGGGTTTTTTGTGTCTTTTATTGTAGGTTTGTAATGTTAGCATTGTAACAAATGAAGCCCTCTAATCTGATCGGTTGCAGCAGCAGCTGTGCCAGTTGGGCTAGGGATATGTAAGGAGACAGGCTTTCACAGAAGCCAGTTCTCCAAGCCCC